AGTAGTGAACACACAACTGATGATGCAAATGAAGCAACGGACGATGCATTAACAATGGAGAATCTACTAGAGCAAGCGAAAAGTTCATTTTTAGAACTGTAAAAATTTGTTTACTTATATGAATAAATTGTGCAATAATATTTGCTTGTACTTCTGAACCAGCTTTCCAGTTAGGAGTTAAGTGCAAAATGACTGGAGTTAAGTGCAAATTGACAGGAGTTAAGCGCAAAATGACTGGAGTTATCTTCACTTAAATTAGGATCACTTGTACAACAATTTGTAAATTTTGTGTAACGAGAACGGTCTTGCCTGAATTCTTGCTATAAAGCTGTAGAATCAAGGAAGTAAGAGTATATGTACTCCATATATAATCATATATTTTATGATGATATATACACATATAATTTACTGTTAACTTTTTTCGAAAAGCACAATTAATTAGCTTCAAAACCATACAAAACTATTGTCATTCACATAGTACACATGGGCAGGAGAGATAAAAAAAGACTTTTCACATGTTTTACTAGTAAAAAAAAATGAAATCTGGTAATTTATTGTAGGGTAGTGTACTTTCATTGCAGTAACCAGTTCAAAATAATAGTGTATATGTAGTGTCCATAAATGCCAAAATGTCAGGTAATGGTGCATCTTCTATTCTCCCCAACCCCTACATCAACTTATTATTTTGTGTTGTATGTAATGTTGTGTAATACAAATAATAACTCCAACTCCCTAAATGCACACTCCCTAAATGCTATCCTGTGGTATAAATTTAGTAAGCAGTCATTGTTATTGTCATACACTCCCTGAAAATAGTATTGATGATCAATTAGTAAAACATATGACCTATTTATTATTATGAAGTTGTAATTCTATATAGTGGACTATACAGATTACTTTATTCAATTGCTTAATTCCATCAAAGACTAGGCTCAAACTTCCTGTATTGCCATCTTTTCAATCAATTTCAAAGTCCTCTTTTTTAACTAACCCATGAATTTATCTGTCTTTGCCTACATATAAAATTATATATTTTCATATTCTAATCAATCCCATCAAACCAAAAATGTATTAACTTTATCAGCATTTTCACCAAAAAATACAACAAATTGGCTTTAAGATGATACACTTGAGCTTCCCAATGACATCTAACCCTAATAATCTCATTAATAAAACTCAAGGGCTGTGTCTATTTATTTGTTCTTTAGCATATTTTGTGTGTATGATCACCAGCCACAAGATGCACCTGAGAATTGTAGCCTGTAGTGGAGGACTTCATTTTCTTTGGAGATGTTGTAATATAGGTAGTATTTGTTTCCTGCAAGATATCTCTGTTCTGTTCTGCTAGATTGATGCCCAGAAGTCATAGATGCTGTCTCCCATGATCATCATGGGCCTGAAAAAGATCTCTTACTCTGTGTGATGTTCCCAATATGCAGACTCTGACACCTGCATCCATACTTTTTCCCCATAAACATCATAGATGAAAAAATCAATGACAGCATGGCTACACTCACAAATATACATAGTTCCCTTTTCCAAATGAATTTCATGTGATGGAGTCTGATCTGCTCAATTAATTTTGTTCACCACAATTCTCATTTGATGTTCATTCCCATCTTGTGCCAGGTTTTGGTAAGTAATGAAAATGGGTTCCCCACTAGTAATGCCTTTCAAAATCAGTGCTAAACACATGGCTCCAGGATTCTCCAGCTTATGTTTTCATCCTCCCTTAAGATTGCAATTGCATTCTGCAGATGCTCATCATTGAATGCTTCATAAACAGCTTGTTCAGCTGGAGGGCAGACAAGATGATATTTCAAACCATAAAAAAAACCATGCCTGAAACTTTCCAGCTTTCTGGGACATTCCACACTTCTGAACCATGAACACTTTGGCAGCAAATATAGTGAATGTTTGCGAAACTGACAATGGTAGGCGTGGTACCTAATACTAATGGTTGAGATATAAGTATGGGAACGGATAGATAGTAAATAATAATTTCATGCTTCCAACGCTCTATTCCACGCCCCAACGCCGAGTTACAAAATCGTTACCTGCAGGACCTTGTTGGAGGCGGAGCTTCTCCAATTCCAACAGACAATCAAAGTTTTCTTGAGTTTTTAAGTTTTGGGGAAGTTTTCTCGAAGTCTTCCATGACAAAGGCACGAAGAGAAGATGTGCTGCACAATGTGATCTAATACTGTATACTAATGCTGATCAGTGGCTTAATCAATGACGTATTAGTGTATATATATATAGAAGACCTTATGCA